TGTCAATTACCTCGATCGTCCACTCGCTCTCCTTTCGTTCTCTGCTCGTCTCGCTACTGTAACCGTGCTCGTTACCGTCGGGTCTAAGAATGGCTCGGGCTGACAAGTGCACCAGAGCGATGTATTTTCGGCTTTCCGTTTCTTTAACGCTTGCCTGATGTACGTGACATTCGATCGCTCGATTTTTGAGGGGGAAATATTACGAATGTCCAAGCACATCTTCCCAATGTAATTGAGTAAACTCGATAGGAAAGGAAATTCGTAACAATATACTCTTGCGTTTTTGCGTTTAAGTGATGACCAAACGGCGGATTTTCATAAGCGTGTATTTTATACTATATTTTGTATATCTTTAAATCTTCAAATTTCCTACAAACGTACAGAAATCTATGCGGTCTATCAGTCAAAACAAAAATTACGAGAAGATGTCGCTATAGATAAAGAGACAGCTGTTTTTTTTTTCACTAGTTTTAATTCCGTTAGCAAAACGAGGATTCGTAACTTTTATGCTCCGAGTCGTTTTCCTCCGATGTAATTTGAATATTGGAGCTTTTTTATTACTGTGACTACTTTTCAATTTTTCAAAGACGTAGGACACCAGCGAAAGAAACTTCTCAGGGTAATAGATTTCAAACTAGCAGCAAAAGCGTGATAATCGTTGGTTAAGCAAATGAATCTCTGATTAGAAAGAATAACGTTTTTTGATTGGTTGGCTGAGAGGGAAGCTCCACTGAAGATGTAATAACGCGGCTGCACGCGTTTAAACTTTGTTCGAAGTTCAAGTACACAGCGAAGATAAAGGGTGCGAAGTTGCCGGAAGACAACCACTACGACCGATTGTATAAGGTGCTCTCAAAGAGCATCGAGGATTATTTTGAACCCGTTCTACCTGTTGAAGGTTTCAAGCGTTCTCTCTTAAGTCGTCCCGACGCCATTTCTACCCGCGTTGTGCCCTCACAGTCGAAACTCCGTCTACAAAAATTCGATTCGGTGGCATCCGGATGAAATAAAAGTAAAAGATAGAAAATAAAAAGAAAAGGAAAACAAGAGAAATGTAGGAAAGAGGGAGGGAGAGAGAGAGAGAGAGAGAGAGAGAGAAAGAGGGAAGGAGAGGGTGGAAAAGGAGTTCGCTTGAAATCGCATTTATCTGACGACAGAAAGTGCTCCACTTTGGAGAAACGAGGCGAGAGGAAGTTCGTCGTTTCAAGATCGCCCTTTCCCAACAAAAGATGCTTCTTGCTTTCATCGTGTATCGAACAAACGACGCGGGAATGGCGAATTAGTAAGAAAAATCTGCGAATTCAAAGGCGAATGCCTCGCCTCCTTTTCAACAATTTTCAAAAGTTCAAGCGTCAACTCGGGATTGTTTTCGTCCGACGATATCCGGATTGAAAATTAAAAAAAAAAAAAGAAAAAAAATAAATCAGTCAATTCCGAGAGGAAGGAGAACAAAAAAAATATATATGTTCCTCGTGTTTTTTTCCCGTTCTGTTCTTTTTTTTTTCCCCGCCGTCTCTTTTCTATATACATATACATAGACACCTATATATAAATTTTTTTTTTTATTTTTTGTTCTCCCGCTCTCCTATTAAGAGGAAACATCGAAACGTTTCTGTTAACGTCGAAACACACCAACAGTCCATTGAAAGGGAAGCCAGAAAATTAAAGAAAAATATCATTTTTGCGTTTGTAAACCGGCCGCACTCCCGGTCGATGTGTTTCCTTTGTTGAACAAAAATTATAATAAACGGTATTTCAGGAGTTTTAATTGAAGCTTGTACTGGGTGGCCAGAGTTCTCCAGCAGAGGAAAACAAAATAATAAAAAAAAAAGAAGAGAGAGAGAGAGAGAGAGAGGGGAAAAGAAAAAAGCAAAAATAGAGGAAAGCGCGGAAGGAAGGGGTTGGAAAAGAGAAAAAAATATATATGAAAGTTTCGCGTTCTTATTTGCGCCGGGGAAAAATATAAAATTTCAGTGTACCGCCTCGCAAAAGCACGGAATACGCCGTACGCGTTTCCGCTCGTTATGAACCCTTTAACGGCCGTTATTCTTTCGAAATCCGATACCAGAAAAACTGTTTCTCTCTCCCCCTATCGATACCTTCGCCTCTGTGAGCCGTTAATTGAAAATATTTTTCACCGGGCAGCGACAATGTAAAGTAAAATCGATGGAAATTTTCTCGCAAGATGCCTCTGAATTTTTCGCTAGCCAACGGAATTATTCGTCCGTTTATTTCGTTGATTATTATCAATTAAACAGATCGACTAACAACGTTTGGAAATTGTTAGATCTTCGATTTAAACCGGTCCAAGTTAGTTGGAATGCTACTACGCGAAATTTCATAGCACTTCGGCACGAACGATTGTGACAGAGTTAAAGGAGAAATTAACCGTTAGATCTGACTCAAGTTCGATTAAAATACGCCACGGGAATTGGATAAGTAGAAATTAGATAAAATCTACGCACGACGAGTGAATCACTAATTAGTTTTAAAAATTGGACATTAATTTCGCTGTTCCTGGACCCAGTCATCCGACCCAGTCATCCCAAAAAACGATAAATAAAGTTATCATAAGAACGAGAGCAAGGCACTGCGAAGAAAGAACAAACAAAATTCTTTCTAATATACTTTTCTACGCGTTTTTCCACTAGTCATTACCTTGGCTATTTCAAATGTGGGAAAAACGTCTCTTGTTGCAAAAGGATAAATTCTTCCTTTTCTACGATGTCAATGTTTCCAAACGCCTTGAAAATTTCCATCGCTCTTTCACAAGTTGCACATGATACTCAATTCATTACATTCGTTAGGACGAGGAAAGGAAAATCTTGAAACAGTTTACGATGCACATGTACGAGCCCTGTTACTAATCTTCACTTTTTAGAAATTTCTTAAAACGATTAATATTCAATTCCTTAGAAATGAAATGACATGCTACCAGAGATTCAACACAAGAGAATGATACAAGCGATTGATTAGACTGTGGATGTTCATGTATTTATAGGAAACTTAAAGATGCAAAAATGCATGGAATATAAACACAAATACGCTCAATACATTGTAGCATGATACATGAATTATTAAAAACAGGAATCGACAAACATACACACCAAAAAATCGTTCCCCTGTAACATTTAGAGATACCCTGAACTGAAAGATCATTCGTACGCGTGTTAAAAACCGAGATCCTTCATAAACAAATAGAAACCGCGACCTGTATAAAATATTTGCCCCGTATAAAACTCATAGATGGAACATACAGAGTCATTCTCGTCAAATCTAAAAACTTCCATGGTATTAAAGAGAAGGATAAAATGCACAAGACCGCGTTCTATCAATAAACGTCCACGTCAGGGGAACACAGGGATCCCGTCGCGATGTCACAGCGTTGCATCAATCGGCGTGACGTTCTTCGGTGAATTCCGCGAGATGAGATCGCGAATTCGCCGCGTTTTCCGCGAAGGTCGACGAAGAAGTCGCGAGAACGGCGCAGCGGTTTCTTAGAGACAAGCAGACAGGGGGGAAAGACTCGCGTCTTATGTAGTCCGTTGGATCGCGTGAATGAGATTCCAAAGCGGTATGTGTCGTGCGTACGTCACGCTCGCGCGGCGAGCTGCGCGAATGGGCGTGTGATCGGTGTCGTTGCTCGCTGATTCAGCCGGCGATTTCACGTATAGACGCGTGTTACCGCGGGATTTCCTGATGCAGCACGCGAATCGCTCGAGCGTGTCACACCGTCGCGGACAACCGGCGCGGCGCGGCGCGGCGTGTGTCGCAATTTATTACGAACGAAGCACACATCTTCGGTTATCTGATCGAGAAACGACCTCGGCTAACGCACGCACGAATTTCCTTGTCTGTCACCCAGGCCTCAGGTCGTAATCATAATTTTCTTGATTTCTTTTCTTTTTATTTCAGCATTTGTCACGCTGTTGAGATCGCCAATGATTAACTGGCGGGAAAATCAATTGAAGGAACGATTGTGGCGGTGACATTTTCAATAGTTACAAAATTGAACTGCGGACTTTAATGTACTCTTGGAGAAATCAAAAAACGCAAAGACGCACATGAACCTTTAGAAATCTCCACGTTGTTTTTGCATTTCTGCAGTTGCGTTTAAGACTTGAATTTTCATAAATATCCACCGTGTTATTTATAATACTACGAGTAACATTGAATGCTAAATACACTAAGCAATTCCAAAACGTCGATAAAATTCAGTAGCTGATTAATTTTAATTTTGATACCAAGTTTATAACGCCGTTTAATCTTCTAAATATCGAACTCATTTAACGTTGCACGGAAATAGACGACAGCACTTCGATGCTGTGCACGAGATCTACACAAATTTAACGCGTCAAGTTATTGCAACAAGGAGAACATTCTTATTGACCCGCTGAATTAAATAAAAGAGTCACTTGTTCGCTTCGTCATGTGCTAGTTCTTCAAACACTGATAGTGCCGTTTCTAGTTTAGAGATGGAGAAAGAAAGAGACGCAACGTGTAAAGAGTTTCTTTCCTTCTTAACCGTGTCGTCGGTTAATTAAGAAGGATTTCTCTCAATCTTGGGTTTTCTGGCCACCTGCTTAATATCGGATGGCGCATGGCTCATTTATTCATGGCAATTTGATGATCAAGATCTCGAAAATCCCTTGGTATTTTCTGAATCACACGCATTCTCACGCAAAAACTCTAGTAGCTACTTCACGGTTATCGATGTCGCGAAAGAGTCGAAACGATTTTATTAAAAGCGAGAGGTATAAATTAGAGACCAACTGCTGCGAGGATCTCTTGAAAGAGAACTTCATCGACGCTTTATTTTCAGTTTAAAAGAACAGATCTTTTTCGCGAACAGATACAAAAGAGAATTCATAAAAGTATTTTATAACGATTGTAAACTGCGAATTATCGAATTAATGCATGCTCTTGGAGATATAGGCAAGCTATATTCTATCATCATTTGAAAATGATGAAAATAGACAAAAAAATATTTGAGGGAATTGGAAAGAGATTACACGAAATGTTTATTAAATATATCGTTTTAATAAATATACTTTTTGTCATAATATAACATCGTACAAAATATAATATTTCGGATAAAAAGATCGTAGTACAAATATGTTAGTAGATCGTTTATATATGTTCTTGATAGCGTAGAAATTTTTTGAACATTGATTTTTTTTTATAAAAAGTTACAACTTACGACTATAATACCTATTGTTCTACAAAAAGTAAATAAGAAAATAATAAGTAGTATGAATAATAATGATGTTTAGAAAAAGAAAAAGAAAATGATAGTATGATGCATCTATCACATTGTTTGACAACAGAAATAAATAATCGACACAGAAGATAATATCTTATTACATAATATTACAAGGATATAGTTGTCTATGGAACATTGAGTATTGAGCAAATCGAGATTCCCCGTCTCATTAAGCGTCATTAAACGTCATTAAGCATTCCACGTTTTGCAGATCTGCAATTGTAATTGGCTTCCAACTTTGATTATACTATAGCTAGCTGTCAAGCTAAATCGTCTAATAAAAAAGACTAGTCATTCACCTAATACAGATCTGGACTGAGAAATCGTAACTAACAATAAAGTTCTTAATATCTAACAAGATACTTAACGCCTACTGAATTAGTGCAGAGTTAGTAACTGTAGTTAGCACCTATTCTATATCGTATACTAAGAGTATTTTTTTTTTTTTTTTAATAATTGAATGTCTTATTGTCACTAACGAATATTAAAAACAGTCGAGTCGTCACCTATAGGAACTTCTGTTTAACGCGTTCACATCTATTCCAATATTGACGAATTAAAGTTTATCGTTGTTAATCCAATTCTTTCATGTTATGATCTTTCATCTTGATCATATGAGGGTGTGCACATACGCATCCAGTGTAGATCATCACCATCTCGTTCGCTTTACCTGGGATAGAGAGATCTATTTCGTCATAGGTCTGTATGCAACAATGAGGCTGGTTGCTCTGACACCTGTTACCAAGGTTGTTCGGCTTGCACTTGATGTGATGCAGATTCTTCAGTATCCGATCGCCAAACTCCTCGCCGACTGGCTCGATCGTGTAGCTGCAGATCGATGCGTTCTGCAACTTGCTCACGTCCATCACGTACATGTTGTCTATTTCCAAATTGCGTCGTTGTCGCGGCGTGATCATCGAATTCATCGATACGTCGTCGATTGTCAACGAACTCTTCGTCTTCCCTCGGTTACTAGACTCGAGCAAATGACGTATCTCACGTAGCTGTCGGTAGATACCCTCGTGGCGAACGTGGAACCTCTCCGACTCTATTCTCCTGGCCTCAATAAATTCTTTCTCTGTGAAGTTCACAAGCAAAATGCAAACGAGGATCCCGACGATGGCGTATAGCGACATGATTCCAAATTTGATTGAATTCGATTTGTTGAACTGGAAACGATGGTAAAATACGAACACCGTTCAGTATCCGAAGAAGAATTTTCGATCAAGATTCTCGTCCGATATTCGTTTTCACTGAGATATACTCTCAGTCAGCAAACCTTGGAATTAATCGAGAATAATCCTCGGTATACAAGAGTACGTTCTCGGATATATCTGGAGGCTTGAATCGTTCCTGGTGGTTTACTGAAAACTGAGTGAACTCTCCCTGTCTCGCTGGAGTTTTAAGGTAGAGAAAACCGTGGGTGGTAGCCACCGCATCTCTACCTTGAGAGTGACCAATCCCCTGTGCCGTGCCAGGAGGCACCTAGTTTCCCATCGTGGTGCTTTCTTCGTTATTGACCGTTGACGTCAACGGGGGCCCTGTTTCATTTCCTCTTGCAGCACCACGCGTTCCCTTAAATATGTAATATAGCGGTGTTTTCCGGCACGGACGTCACCGTCCATCTATGGAGGAAGAAAAATGGCCAACCGGCTGGCATCAGCCCGTACGTTCGCGGAAAATGGGAAAAGGGAGAGATGGTGGGTCGTGATTCCTCAACAGAGATGGCCTCAATAATGGATACCAAGCAAATCCTTTCCCTCTTGGCATTTACGTACGACACATTTCACGTGGCGGATTTCTTATGCAGACGGTGACACGATCGTGATCAAGAGTTATCACAGGGCACGCACAGGTTGATTGACTCGTTAATAACGCCGGGTTCAGATGAATCAGGGGCTCCAACAACCAGACACTTTCTCACTTTCTTACGTAGTAAAGATAATGAGCAAATTTGATCCCGATGATTCTCTAGTAAATTCTCGGCATCTATCTACCACTCGCAATGTCTCATTTTCTCGGTCGGGGAATACCAAGAATCTTGTCACGTAAACGTCACCTGAGACATCGAAGATCTTGACCGTTTTATCAATCTGTTCGTTTTAAAGTCAATTTTATTCTCGGTCCAACGTCGGGATTTAGCGTAATTTAAAATTGGCAGCAATCAGAGTTTGATCTTTCTCGCAATTTTTCGCTCGTTACTTGTGTAGAATAAATTTTTTTTTTTTTTTTATGGAGACGCGTGCACAGTCTCGACGTACAGTGAGTCAGAAGAGTGTTCGATTTTTCTAAAAATATGAATCACTATCTTTCGGAAATCGTAATGCCGAAGACTTTTTTATCTATATAATTTACATCAATATCGCTGAACATAAATCGCGGTCTACTATCCGATTGTTTTATGGGATGGGGAAAACTATGGGATGAGAGGGAGTTCTTAGAATTTTGTAATTTGTCATCCCAGTAAGAGAAACTTTTCAACATTTCAGAAATTTATGAAATAGAATGATTAATTATCGTAATGTAAGTAATATAAAAAAAAAGTAATAAAATAAAAAAATTTTATTCCGTATAAGGATTGCTTCGTTTTTATTATCAGATGCGTCGACAAAAAGTGAGAACAAACTGAATTATATTCGACACAAAATAAATCACCGCTCTTTCTTATTTTGTTTATTTATAGTAACAGTATTTTCTCATTATTAAAATTTAACATAACAGAAATTATAAGAATGTATCATTTTTATAGAATGTACAAGATTTTTATTAATTCAAGCGAATAGATCCGGTGACAGACTGCTCCTGTTCGGAAAACTCGCGTGTGTGCCAAATTTCAACACAGATTCCGTGGCAACGACGCAAGCTCTTCGGACGCACTCGCCCATCGAAAGCGTTGGGTGATAAGCTTTAAAATATGCAAAAGCACCCAGAAATGCATCTCCAGCTCCCTGCGCATATATCGTGAATATTAGCAATGTGATTTCACAGATTGTCATCCCTTTAGCTTATAAATTAATTGTTGAGCACGAACGCGTATTTTTTTCTGTAAATCATGCATAATAAGGAAACAAAATAGCAAACTTACAAAAGTAAGTACAAAAGTAAAAGGATTAAGAGAAAGGTGAAAATCATTTTAAAACTAAAAAAAAAAAAAACAAAATACGCAAATATTGTAGATATATCTGCGTACTAAACGAACGTGATTATTCAACACACCGTTGTATCCACAGGTTGAACGCGAGCAGTACCGACTTTTTTAATAGTTCTGTCTTCCTGAGACGCGTACACAGCTCCCTGTTCTCCAAGAGTAATAATCACTGTGTTACAACCCTTATCCAACAATTTTACAATAGCCTGCTGTATACTTGATGATCCCTGTGGCTGCACTCCAGTTATAACTTCCATCTACAAATGCATATTTGTTTCGATTAAGTAAAAATAAGAAATCCTAACAAAATAAGAAATTAATTTTATAATTCCAGTTCGAGGATACCTCCGTCTCGTTAACGCAAAATATGTCACAGAGTTTCCATAAGTCTGGGTGGACATCTTTAGTGGCGGGTGCCCCATTCACAATCGACAGACCTATTGTATTATATTTTCTAGCTAATCTATTGGTTCCATGGAAAAAGGAAGCATCGCGATAACTAACCGTGGCCTTTGAAAATCTTCAAAGCGTGTAGAGTGATTTCTAAGGGTATTTCGAATTGGCATAATAAAACGGCAGCATTCTCAATCACGTTGGTCGCTGAGTCCACATGGTTGATAGTCATCAACGCGTTTGATCCTAATACAATTACTATGCTGTTTTCGCCTAAAATTATCAAATTTTATGCACTTTGGACATTTATAGAAATAAATTTCATTAAAGTCTGACAAGATTAGACTTGACTACTCACCATTCTCTGCAACAGTAATGTGTGCTATTCCACTGTGATGGTTTGGTTGTATTTGAACATAAGCATCTATGTTTTCTTCCTTAAATATTTTTAAATACTCTTGACCATAAATATCAGAACCTAACTGTACAAGAAATTAATTAAAACAAAATTTGATTAAATTTATTGCTTGAAGAATGAAATTATTGTATGTAGAATAGTTAATTAAAGGACTAAACAAAACTAAAACCCGTACAGAAGCAATGATTGCTGTAGCAGCACCAAGTTTACTAGCAGCTATACATTGATTAGCACCTTTTCCACCATACTTTATTTCGTATCTATTACCAATTATTGTTTCACCAGATTTTGGCAAACGAGGAGAAAAGCTAGAAAAGAAATACAATCTTATCGCGGTAGAAGATGAAATGGCACAAAGTAAACATAATGAAATAGAGTAATAAGTATAATAAGAAATATATTTAATTTCAATATGAAATTCGAATAAGTACAAATGTATATTTTTCTAATGCATTTAACATCACTAAATACAAAGATTTTATTAAAAAAAATATAAAAATGAAATTCATATAGAAATGTATCATATCAAATTAGTTTCAGTTATTGAAATATAGAAAAAACTTTACAAATGAAAAAAAGTTGTTTTTTATTAATCTTTATTTTGTAATATTAGCACATTATAGATTTTCCAGAAGGTAAACCAAGCTACTTGTACCCATGGTAAGCAAAATTATCACTTACCAAGTGAAATCAATCATGCATGAACCAACAGTAACAATTTTTGAAGACATTTCTTTACAATTTACTTGGGTGCTATTTAAGCTTTTAAAAACAAGAATCTTTATTGAGGTTATGTAAGTGGTTTGCCTGTGGAAACTGGAGCTTTTAACGGAAAAGCGTATTTATAGTTCACGTAAACTGATAAAAATGATTATCTGAATTTATCAAAATTATCGCATGGACCATTGAATGCGTTCAATTATTTATTATAGATATAACCTAAATGAAATGAATTATGCAAGTATGAAAACAATACAACCTTAGTTTCACATATACAATTCGAAAAAAAATAAATGTTAAGATCTTTATTGTTGTTTAAATTCTAAAATACACATTTCATTGCACAACAAATGTACATACATGTAAACATTATTAGTTCATACATGTCATCGTAATAGATAAAATTATCTTCTCCACTTTTTAAGATTTATAATAACATTTCAAGTTATGGAAAGTAACAACATGATTGCAGTTAAATGAAAAAGAAAAAACAAAGATTACGCTGATATTTTAAATGTACGGACATTGACTAAAGATAGAATAGACATCACTTCGTCATGGACATCCAAACACTATCACCATGTAGCGGTGAAACGGTGGAACTAATCGCTCTCTCTGTCTATATCGCATACTATTGCGCTCCTTGTCTGGCTCGCAACATATATCTATCCTTATCGCACAGTATTGTGTTCCTTGTCTAGCACGCAAGATATATCTATCCTTGTCGCACAGTAATGTGGTCCTTGTCTACGAGCAATCAGAGTGCTGCCATCTATCGGATTTTTCATTTTTCTCATTTTAGTTCCACTCCAAGTTGAGAGGTGCATAGATGGCAGCACCATCCATAGACAAGGAAAGCAATAATGTGCGACAAGGACATCCTTCGATCTATTGAAAAAAAAATTCAACCTTTTACACACACTTTTTTCTAAAACAAAACATACATAGAAAGAAAGCGGCGAGCCTAATTTTAAGGAGGCATATAAAAAAGTTCGCAAATTATT